TCATGTTGTCTGCGGCATCCTTGCCGTGTACACCGGGTACAGTATGTGCGGGTGTGTCCTCGCTTTCCCCTCCCCGACTCCTTTCCTCCGGGTACGCTGTCGTGGGATGGCGATTGGCAAAAAAAAAAAGAAAAAGAAAAAAGAAAGGAAGAAAAAAAAGGGAGGAGGGAACCGATCAAGGAGGTGCTGGTGCTTCCCTTAATAACCAAAGGTGCTGGGATCAGCAGAAAAAATCTTCCACCACTGTTCTCCTCCACGCATGTATGACTGTGTGACGAGCTGATGGCTGCAGACAGCCTCAAAGGTAAATAGTCCCCATAAGGTGCTCAGAAAGGCAACATCTGCAAAGGGGGGGGGGGGGACAAGGCGAGGCGCGGGGGAGGAAGGGAGCTTAAAAATATAATCTTATTACCACGATTTAATAATTTGAAGGCGTGTGAAAATAATTCGGTTGCTCAGAAGAGTTAATCTATGCATGCGTCAGACAGTCAATTTACATTTTTATTTATAATTTAGGCATAAATTAGCATCTCCACCAGATTCCAGACTGAGATGCAGACATGCTCAGGCAGTGCATCCCAGTATCTAATGCAGAGACAGTTCTGAGAATCTCCTAATAGCCTACATGGTGAGCAGAGCAGCCTCCTCAGACACTGACTTGAAACGACATGCGTGAAAGAACCGCCCTACGTAGTGGGCTAGAAGATTATGCAATTTCACTGAGCAGGAGACCCACGCACACACGTGAACACACATGTAAAGTGGCCTTTATGGCCCCTGCATGGTGTCAGCACGGTGGGAGGCGAGAGATTTTTACATGAAGAAAAAAAAAACTTTCTGGGCAAAATATCTCTGTTGTCAGCTTCGGCCGCAGGACTGGTATATAAAGCTTAGTCAAACCTGCAGTCAGGCATTGCTATGCATACCAAGAGACGGGCTGGTGATGGAGAAAGGCAAGGGCGGAAAAACGCGCTCCCCATCTGCACTATAGCTTAGCGCTCACCTTATCTGCAGTATGGGCAATTTAAAGGGGTACGCAGCTCCACCACTATTCAGCTGATGGTTAAAAGATGCGATCTTCTCAAATTGCAATGCCAAAATTAAGAGTAAAAAAAAAAAAATTCATTTCTGCATATTTAGTTTATCTTCGAGAAGTTTTCAGGCATTTGATAAAAAGCTGATATATCAACCTGTGGCTACTGTTTTAGGAAATATGTGAGCATGTTCATGTATGACTGTTATTGCAGAAACAACATAAATGCTTGTGGGAGGAGCTTTTTTGATAATCTTTGTTCTCTTGTGCGTTATTAGTATAGTGGAAGTAATAACAGCTTTACTTCTTTTTTAATGCCTGTTCATGGCAGTTACACTCGCAGTCTTTCCTGGCAACACAATTCATGAATAATAGATAGAACAGAGGGACTAAAATAGAGCAAATCCTCCATCATTGCCCCTTGCTATATTCAGAATAAAGAACAAACTCTGTCCTTTCATCACTATTGATACCTGAGCTGGGAATCAATACTGGAGCTGGGAATGAAAGCGCCGTGGCCAGAAGTGACCTCCTCAGAAGCCAAAGGTCAGTGGGATTCCCTTGGATGAGCAAGGGAGGGAGGTGATTCAGGAGAAACAGGCAGTGGGGCAGACAGCAGGATGATTTGTGTGAGACCTGACTCTGCCAAGGCTTGTCCTGCCAGACCCCGAGACCATCATGGCTCCCAACCTCTTCCCTGCTGTCTGTCTGCATGCCTTCCTGCTGCCACACAAGCTGATACCTCTCTGTATCTCATAATGGCTTTCCCAGGTTAGTTATGACAGCATGGTCATTATTTATGAGCTGGGGGCCTGTTAGAAAGACTGCAAATGCTGTCTTTGAAACTCATTTTCTTACTATTAGGTGTTTTTCTTAAATTAAAATGTGAAGGTTGTCTACACTCTAAATGCTCTGTGTGCCTTAATCATATGGGGATGTTCAAATGGCTGGCTGGTTGTATAAGTTGGCAGGCGAGGGTGTCAAGAATGAATTTGTTACCAAGAGGTATTGATTTCAGCATCTCCATCAGATGTTTTTTTTGGCTCACTGACATGCAGAAGAGAAAATAAACCTGAGAACTGAGAGACTGAAGGGTCATTCTCACTGATGGATTAGAGGACCAATATGTATATATACATTTGTATATATATATATATATATATCAACAAAAAATATATACCTACAAAAAATGTTTTTTAATGTTTGTAATGTTTTTTTAAGAAAGGTAGGTAGCTTCAGAAATACTGGAAAATCACTGGAGGATTAGCTGTATTTAGTGTTTCCAGGTGACACAAAAGTGAGCTTACAGTGTAGCAATTGGTACTGCCATTTAGCCGGTACAGTCCCTGGAGTGCAGTGGTCTTTTTATTGATGCTGGAGGTCTGTGATGCCGCCTTACTCCTTCATACTGCATTGCAGCAGCCACAGGTTTCCAGCACACACACAGACACACACAGGAACAAGGTTTTAAACATAGGGTCCACCATGGATCTCTTCAAAACCCTGGCCTGCCTATTACAAGCTCCATAATAACCAACATAATGTGATAAGATAGAAAACAAGAGAACAGACGAGATCGGGCGTGTTCAGGGTTGTATGGCCGTAAGCCGTAAAAAAAAAAAAGATAGAAAACAGGAGGCTGCATATCGCATTCATGTTTGGATTTTCTGCTGCATTAATACGGATTTTCTGCTTCCAGATATGATGATGCAACACTCTCCTGTGTAATTCCTCATTAACAAATTCTGTCATGCAAAATCATCAACAAGACTCCTAGAACAAGAACCTTGCACTAAATCTTATCCTATATATTTTGTGAATTTTCTCCTGATTCTTTTCACTCCTTGGGCTATAGAGCAGTCCAACAATTTTGCTGCTAAAGACATTTTTCCAGTGCATCTTCAGTGAGACTCAATTTATTTGACCCTCTGGGAGATGAGTCATTTCAGCATTGCTGCTCAGGAACTGAGTTGCCCTGCAAAAGAGGCAGGTTACACATACAAATATGGGACCAGGAATGTGGACACAATAAATAAGTGGCTATGGTACATGGCTATAAAGCAATATAGCCCCTTTTGTCCTTAGTGTCCCCTGGAGCTAACAGTACATCTGAGGTAGAAATGGAGAAAGGGAGGATAGGGAGGACGGAGGACTCTGTAAAGAGAGGGAGGAGAAGAAAAAGGGAGGGAAGGAGAGAGTCATGCTCGTCAGATTGAGGCCCAGCAGGAAGAGGGCAGATGCTGGAAAAGAGCCAGACAACAGGAGAGAGACAAGGACACTGGCCCACTGCGGTATACTGCCAAGCTCCAGCACTCTTAGCCAGATCTCAGAAATATGCACATATGGCCACTACACAAGTTAATTTCTCAAAACTTACAGGCTTGTAGATTACCTGTAGAAGTTTGTAACGTAACAAAGCATGTATACTGCATGAGTTATGTTTCTGTCATGCAAGACAAAAGTTAGTACATGCATCATTTTGCATACACAAGAACACCTGCAGAAATGACAGCAGTACGGTCCTGATGCCGTAGGCCCCGGTCTGTATGGGCCTGGGCTCCCTTGCCTTGGTGGGTGCCAAAGGACAGGCGTGCCTACTGGGGTCAGCGGGGGAGTTGGCCCCAGGGAGGGGCATCTTGCTCCTCCCTTCTTTTCCTCCCCATCCCCGGCTGCCTCCCTCTTCCCGCTCCAACACACCCACCCACACAAGTAGGGCCTTGGGGTGCGGGTGTGTCACCAGGGTGCAGGGGAGGCATCCCCCCCCCTCTGGCCCCTTCTGGCCACCTGTGCCTCAATTTTATTCCACAACTTAGACATCCACATTACTCACACTCTCATAACACATACATATAGGGCCTTGAGGGTGGGCACGCTAACGGCGTCCAGTGGACGGTCTGTGTATTTAACCCCATCTCTGGCACCAGTGCCCACCTCTCAATTTTAAATCCATGTAGACATTGAGGATTCTCGGGAGAGGCCGTGCTAACACCTTCTGCTCTCTGGCAGCAGCACCATGCTCTCCCGTGTTTTAAATGCACCTTAGAACAACACGACGCAACACTACACATGAGCGAGAGGAGGGAGGTTTGGGGTCTTCACACACCCCTGTTCTCTGCTGGCCATTGGGGCGGGGGGGCTGGGAGGAGGTGTTGGCCGTCCGATTGGGATCTGGGATTCGGGGCCTCCCTGCTGCTGCGGAGCCTGGGGTGGTCTGCTTGCCTCCACCCCGGGGGAAAGGGTAACATCTCCTGGGTCTAGGTGCCGTTTCCCCCTCCAGCGGCAAGGGTACCTGGACCCGGGGTATAGAGTTTGTTTGGGGAGTGTGATTGTGTGTAGAGTGTCCATGTATGTCTATCCCTACATTGGGTGAGTGCTGAGTATTTGTATATGTGTGCATGAGGGTGGGAATGCATGATTGTGTCTGTGTGTGTTTTTCTCTTCTTTCTCTTTTTAAGTGCCCTTTCTCACTGTCCCTCTTCCCTTCTGTTTTTCTTTTCCTTCATCTTTCTTTCTCCCCTTCCTATCCCTCAGTCATGTCTGTCCCGTCTGTAAAAACTGAAAATAAAATAAAATAAATAATAACAACAATGCCGTGATGATCCATTTGGCAAAGTAAATCCACTGGGTATCCTTGTTGGTCTCCAGACAACAATTCTGACGGCTAAAGAACCAAATGGGACAGGCAAAAAAAAAAAGAAAGAAAAAAAAAAGAAATGACAGCAGTAAACTGCCCAAAACATTTTGACTCCATTCAGTTCTGTAAGCCACCCTGCTGCTGAAAGGAAGGTCTATGAGTCAGTAAATGAGTGAGTCAGTGTCACTGTTGCAGGATACTCTGATGTTGCATTATACAATGCTTCTGTATGACAAAGTGAAATTTAAGTCAAGGTAAGAGCTTGCAGGAGCACTAGGTTATATTACACCAAGGTCAGAGAAGAAATAAGATACTCTGTGTATCGGGGTAAGAGGGTAAAAATAAAACTTTATGTCAGTAAATGTAAGCTTTCTTTTACATGCACAGGAAGGCTCTGTAAATCAAAGTCATTACTTTGTTATCCACCCTTGAATATTTTGCTAAAGTGAGGTTTTGCATCCTTTTTGTAAAAGTTGAAACGGTGCATGAAAGAATTTGCTTTTTAAAAAACATGTGTATTAATGTCTGACTTCCAGTGCTTGACAAAAAGTGCAGCACAGGTGACCATTATCAGATGTGTGGGATTTACAGTGACAGCTACTATGTCACTGATGATGCAATGCCCTGGTTTTTGTTTGCAAGTGAACCAAAACATGTGCCCCTGCCTTAAGCAGGAGTCTGGTCTGCAGTCGACAATGCTGCTGAGGGATGCAGCAGCCACTCTGAGTCACAGGACACCTGAGCGGTGAGTCAGGGCTGCACAGTTTCCAGGGTCACAGTGCTTCAAACTTCGAACCTCACTCAGACGTGACTATTCTTTGTTGATCTAATTCATCATAGATATGTTGAGATAAGGACAATCCTAGAAATAGTATCAATACCAGAAGAAATTGTCCCAAGTCAGCATTGTCGCTGTAGCTGGGTGAATCGTTTGCACAGCCTCCTACGGTTGCTACAGAAACCATTTCTAGGGGCAGCAGAGGGAGGATTTGGACTGTGACATCACTACAGCATTTTTGGTGCCAACAAGATATTTCAGGTAAAGTTACAGCATGATGACAAAGCACATTTTATCCACTTGCAGTCAGGTGGATTAGTTAAATATAAATGTGTTTAGGAAAAGTGTGAAGTCTGTATTTTCCACCTTTCCTGTTTCACACTTTCACATCTGGTGCATGTTTTACAGCATATGGTGCAGTACCCTACATTACACTACAGTACTTTGACTCCTAGCTTTCTGTGTGGCCTGTGGGGGGATGGATATACGTATGCTTTCTCTAATATGCTTTCTGGGCTTTTCCTTGTCTCACTGAAAGCTCTGAACACTGAGTCTTGATGCAGAAGAGTGAACTTTATGAATAGCCCCCAGAGTGCCATTATGTGTTCTCAAAAGAGCAGATGGATGAATGGCACCGAGAGAAACAATGGCAATATGTCTCATAGTTTCTATTTTTGGCAACACTGAGTTACAGTTTTAGGGCAAATACCGTACTATAAAAAACATATCATCAGCGCAGGAAGGAAAATGTCCAGTGCTGTGAGTAATTGTAACGGACACCGCCATTTCTCATCTGGGTGCTTCTGTAAAGTTCAAGGATGACATGAGGCAGCTCTCCTGGCAGACACTCCCCATGTTGGCATGCTGGGTATCATCAGAGGTAGCACGCTGCTGTGAGGCATGACTCCTCTCATGTGGAGAATGTTGGCATGATGAGGGCAGCAAAGAGATGAGAGAAAAGGGAAGCTCCAAACAGGTCTCCTCCAAACCCCCCACCCAGAACTGAACACAATCCTGGATTTGCATCTTTGAATCCACCTGCAGCAGCAGAGTCGGAGAGAACCAGCTGTGGAGCTGTCTGCGATTTTCTGTCTGTGTGTGTTTGTGTACTATGCATGTAAGCTCAAGTGTATGCACCTTCCCCTCCCCAGTGCTTTCTTTTTTTCTAATGACCAAGATCCCACTACTGAGTGCACTGAGGTATACCAGCTCTCACTATGTTACAGCTGTGGAGTACTCCAGCATGCTCATTCCAACCACATGGGCATCCACAGAGGAGAAGTGACACAACTTGGCACATATATCAAAGCCATAAGTGTACATTAAGGATGAGTAATTATTTGGATTTTAATTCTTACATTTACATTTCATTTAAGTAAAAAGTACAAAAGTACGACATGTATTGAAAAAGGTCCTGAATTGTAAATAAATAGGTTGACATGTTAATCTTTATGTATTTGTTGTCATGTTGCTATATTCTTAGCTCTAAATGCAGAAATGAACAATCCAGTGTTTTATCAATTTAGAGCATAACAACACCAATCTCCTAATAAGATAATCTCTAATGTCGTTCTTACCTTTCACAAAACCAAAACATTAATAGAAGATATGTTGTACTGGAGATGTATCTTGCAAGCACAGCTGTCGAGCTTTGTAGATGATTAATGGTAGTGGGTAAATCACAAGCATCGTTTCATTTTCTCCTGGTTAAAAATACATTAAAGAAGGGGGAAAGAGAAGGTACAAAACCACTCAGCAGTTCTGAGGCAATGCACCTGGAGCTGCAGGACACATGGTGTCTTGTCTGCAGAACTGAGAAAACAGAAAACTCAGCAAAGAAGTGTCTAATGGTTAAACCAAGCCACCTTACTTTAAAGTATGTTTAAGGTGACTTTAAGTCATCTGTAGGTTTCTGTACCTTTTCAGATGTTAGGTTCACGTTTGTTACACATTTGTACTTGTGTTTCTGTGAAATCTCTAACAACGGCTTTGAAGAGAAATTAACTTGTTAACATGGATCAAATTTTATGATACCCAGGCGGTTTCAGTCAATTCTGTGATAACACCATTACAAAGAAATACTTTTGTAGATCCCTTTAGAAAACATTACAAGCAGGAATATATCAATTTCATGATATAATCATAGCAACCTTTCTGAAAGGCATTTCACAAGGCTATTGTTACATCCCTTTGCTTTTTCTTGGTTAATGTTTCATCATTTTGTTTATTTGTTTCAATGCTGCACTGGGAACACAAGATATGGCTTTAAAAGCAACAGTCCGGAAACAGGATAGGATACTGCAAAGTCAATTTCAAGTAACCTTGGTGTCCTTTTTAGTGCTTGTGCAAAGTTTTTTTTTCCTTTTTTCCCCTAGCTCTAGCTTGCAAACTGTAATTCTCTTTGTCTCATGGGAAACATGAGAATTATGGGTCACACTAGACGCCTCTGGATTTTAAAGTAGTTTCCTGACCTGCACGACAAATCCCAGATGGTCACATTTGCTGGTTCTAGGACAAGACACTGTATCTTCCTCAGCGGTGCACGTGTAACAATAGTAAAAATAACAATAATCATTACTAGATTCACAATTTTGTCTTCAGCAAAAATAATATTTTTATCTTCCACAGATTGAATATAATCCATAGATGCACATACAAAGTACTTGTAAGTGATTCTTCCTCACTTTGCCACAAAAAGAGTTTGCAGATAACATGAAGGCAATAAATTTCTTCAATGACAATAAATTATTGTTCTTACCATAAAGTCTAATTTTATAAGGCCTATCATTTTCAATGTCTGTTGACAAGATGATGTGAATATAGCCTTGAGGTCTTAGTGTTGACTTTATACAAAAGATGATTAAACCTTTAAATTTATTATGTTATGCTAGTGTATGGAAAAATGGAAATAACACCCCTGTAATCAGTCATAAATATATATAACTGAATATTAATGTTTCTAAAAATGTTAGCAAAAACATTTAATCTTCTTAAAATAGTGGCTCTGCATTTAAATTCCAGATACGTGCTGTCAGCCACCTAATAAAGTGATTTTTTACTGCTTCTTATTTCATTCACAGAGAAAAAGGCACCATAAATTTAAACCTTTAATGAAGTTACTTCTTTTTTGGGATCGGTTCTTCATCTGATAGATCAAAGTCTCTTATGACAAACTTCCATAAATCTCCAGTAAACATAAACATAAATAGACTTGTTTAAGATTTTGTAAGGGTACTGGGGCTTAAAACCCATAATCAAAACCAGTCACAGATACAAAACGTTCAAAAGGTTTTTTTGATTTTTTTTAAAATTGTTAAAAATGCTGTGAGAGGACAATATTACATACAAGCTGGTCAAAAGAACACACTGACTATTTGACAAATCTTTAAATGTGTATAAAGGCACCATATACCACATATTCACCCCTCAAGACTCTATCTTCCAAGTTCAATGTTTAAGCCCTGCCTGAAAGCAACAATTGTACTGAGCCACTAGAGGGCAGTACTGAGCTATTTACAGGTCTATTTCGTCTATCAAGGTTCCACACCACGCATCAATTTTGAAATCAAGCAAAATTGACTCCACAGACTGTTCAGAGGCCTTACAAACAAGTGAAGTACTTAATGATACATGACGCACTTGATGAAAATGGTGACTTTTAGTGTGATGTCCCAGTACATATTAAAGATGCCAATTACATGATACTGAGAGAGCTCCAGATCCTCCAAATAAAAATAATTAGATGTTAAATTTTTATGAGAAGATTGTTTAGCCAATGTATATATTTTTCATACCTTTGCTAAAAAAAATCGGCCTTTAAATGTTAAGGTGTCACATTTTAGTTATGCTATTCTAAAGATTAAATCATTAATCATTTAATATAGAAAATGATCAACAAGTGAATCTATATGAAAAGAACTACAACTCAGCTCTAAAATTAACAGAAGCAAAGTCAACTTTTGTAACTGAACTTTTGTAAACTTCTCATTTATGATGCAAACACTCATGTATTATTAGAGAAAATGCTAATCTGTAACGAATTGTTGGACTGACTGGAGTTTTGCTTTCTGTTTAGCTACACTGTACCAAAAAGCTCACGTGCACAGTTCTGCAGGTGGGAGATGAAAGGCAGCTGACATCCGTTGGTGTGCCAGCTCACATAATGGCGCTTTTACATCTGAAAAAGAGAGCAGCATTCAGTAATACAGTGAGACTGTAGCCTTTCATTGTGTTCATGTAATCTGAAGCTGTGGGCTTCATTTTCCCTAAATAGTTACAGTAATACTGCTGCTTGGTTGATTCTGCCTCAACCATCTTTAAGGGAAGCGATGAATCGCCAAACCCAACCCAAAATAATATGCACCATTTTCCCCTCCAAGGACAAGAAAGCAAAACAACAGTTTGTGAAGATGCAACACAATGCCACGGAAGCATGAGAGGGGGTTACCCAGGAAACCACCGTAGCCATGGAGACTGCATCACAAGGCGGTTCAACAAGCGGAAGGCGGCGATGCGCCGCGCGTTCTACCTCCCTTTATCCATTCTGTCATCACTGCGCACATGACCTCAATCACACAATTATTCACAGTTTTCTTGTTTTCATGCTCCTCCTGCTCGCTTTGGACAAAGTTTGCTAAGATGCAGCACATTTATTCTAAAGAATATACGAGTGACAGGTGGGACCTGAGTCAGTTCATTTGAGTTTTATTCAATATAGGCTATATAGGCAGTTCTGAATTAAAATACACTGTACGAAAAGCTCAACTCATATTTTATGATAAGCGTTTCCATTAACAGCACTCTGCGTTTTTATTACCTGAATAATAATCCGAACAACATGTGGACAGGTTATGATATTAAATATAACCGAAACAGGCATTGGGCTATATAAATTACCATAGTCTATTGATTTCCACGAAGCACAAGACGTCGTTTTTGGACTGGTGGGTAGATTCAGTAGAAGACTATATGCTACACGTCTATCCCAGTCATGAACACCAACAACGGTCGCATTATAACATCAAGATATGTAGGCATCGTGTGGCTTTATACGCTGAAAAATGTCTGTTTTAACAAGCTTTTTTTTATTGTTATTATTTCCTCTGATTTGAAGCAAACACTTTTTCTGTGCGTGATTTTTTTTCTTTTTTTTGCTCAGGTTAATACTTGTTGATCACGGAGAAACACTGAAAACAGAAAAATCTTCACTGAAGTATTTTTGTATCGTTTCCATTTGCTTTGGTGCAAATAAAATAAAGATTAATACCTTGTTAAAACAGAAGTTTACAGCTTTCATCCACAGATATGGACTGACACGTTACGAGTGGCTATATAAAAATATTATAGGTACTGTCTCATCATGCTTCATAAATGATCCATGGCGGGGTTCATTTACACGTCCGTGAAGATCTTTTTGATGTTCACGCAGTTCTGGTTGTTTTCGGTGGTGAAGTTGGGTTGTTTGAACGCACTGTTGATGCCCTCCTCTATCACCATGTACTCTGACTTGCTGAGAGATGAGGAGCTGCACGACCTCCTCAGCTCCTCTGAGGGGAGGTGCTCACAGCTACCTGTAGTGTGATACTGTGGGTACTCCTCTCCATCAGTCTCTCTGTGGTAAAAGTAGTTGAAGTTGGACACAATCACTGGCACGGGTAAGGCAATGGTCAGCACGCCTGCTATTGCGCACAGAGAGCCCACTATTTTACCACCAATAGTGACCGGATGCATGTCCCCATAACCAACTGTGGTCATGGTGACAACTGCCCACCAAAACGCATCTGGTATGCTGGAGAAACTTGAAGTGGGGTCGTCTGCTTCTGCAAAGTAAACTGCACTGGAGAAGAGAATAACTCCGATAAAAAGAAAAAATATGAGCAAGCCAAGCTCCCTCATGCTGGCCTTGAGGGTCTGTCCCAAAATCTGAAGTCCTTTTGAGTGTCGGGAGAGCTTAAAAATACGAAAGACCCTCACCAATCTTATCACCCTCAGGATGGCGAGCGACATCGCCTGCTGACCGCCGTTGGTTTGCCTCTCGGCCAGCTCTGTCCCCAGAGTGATAAAGTAGGGGATTATGGCGACGATATCAATGATATTCATTATGTTTTTGGAAAAGGTCGTTTTGCTGGGACAGGCAAAAAACCTGACCAGCAACTCGAAAGAAAACCATATAATGCACAACGTTTCGATGACAAAGAAAGGGTCTGTGAATGGACTTGACGTGAAGGGAGCAGTGCCATTAACTGCGGGTGCCACTGTGGCTTGGTCTCTGTCATCCCGGAATTCCGGCAGAGTCTCCATACAGAAAATAACAATTGAAATTAAAATAACAAGCACTGAAACGATGGCTATCCCTCTTGCTGGCCCAGAGCTTTCAGGGTACTCAAACAAAAGCCAAACCTGCTTCTGGAAATCATTTTTGGGGAGGATGCGCTCCTCTTCTTTTATAAACCCTTCATCCTCGCGGAATTTCTCCATGGCCTCCTCACCGAGTTGGTAAAACCTGATTTCCTCTGAGAAAATATCAATGGGAACGTTAACAGGTCTCCGTATGCGCCCTCCTGACTGGTAGTAGTAGAGGATGGCATCAAAGCTTGGTCTGTTCCTGTCGAAAAAGTACTCGTTTCTCAGTGGGTCAAAGTAGCGCATCCTTTTCCTCGGGTCCCCCAATAGCGTGTCTGGGAACTGGCTGAAAGTTTTCAGTTGCGTCTCGAAACGTAAACCAGAAATGTTGATGACCACCCTCTCGCAGCATCCCTGGCGACTGCGCTCATATCTGTCCACCGACAGGTGAGGCGCTGAGAGCACGGCGGACTCCTCCAGCATGTTTTCCACCGTCATGACGCCCTTCTCCTCGGCATAACCCCGGTTGTCAGACTCGTTGCGTCCCCTGTGTCCCGCTGACGCGTGCGGAAGGATCACGCTGGAGGTCTGGTCATCCATACAGGTGGTTTTCAGTCTGGAGGAGCAGGGTGCGCCACGCCACTCCCAGCCAAAGCTTACAGCTTTGGAGAGTTGAGGCCGACGCCAGTTACAGCTCCTCCAACCATCACCTATCTCTGCCTATCCACACGCTGAAGCGCTGCACTCCCCTCTGGCTTTTTTTCCCAAACACGCCGACACCCACCCACAGCGCGCATATGTCTGACATACGTCCACCACCCGCCCAATCGGAAATTAACTTGACACTTAATGTCGAGCACCCACCCTTGTGTGGCGAGCCGAAAACACTTGATGAAATCAGATCCACACCTGTTAGATCCAAGTTTTATTCTTACGCTGTGAGCTCGTGCGAACCCGTTATTATCTTTATCACGTGGGAATGACAACAAATCAGCACGCCTGCCAGTTCCCTTTTAGCAAAAATAACATAAAGGGCACGAATCCAAAATGTATGCGATTCACCTTCAACACAAATGCAAAAAAAGAAAATCATAGAGGAAAGCAAAGTCCTCGTTCTAATCTTCAATTGAATCTTATTTTTCGTCTTTTCCAACAAAAACAAAACAAAACAAGTGTTGTTAGATACAGCTTCACTTTTCCAACAGAAATGACATCATAAGGATTTCGATAATCAACCGAAACAGAGGAATATACCGGGGCAACTAGATACGTGCCGTTTTCAAGCAGCGCAGAAAATGAAATTCTTGCATTTCTGCCATGTGTCTTCTTTCTTGTTGAGGAGGTGTTGCTCTCCATGGTGCTGAAAACAAGCGCGCCCCAGTTGGTAAATCTATGCGCGCGCTCTTTATCAGCAATCAGCTGAGTTTATTACGTGCTCAATTTGTGTGTATTCGTTTATAGATGCTCTCCTGGATATTGCCAACATAGCACATAAGCTCCAGGATCAGTCACCTCATTTCCACTCGAAACGAGTGCCCTCACACACACACACACACACACACACACACACACACACACACACACACACACACACACAGAGAGAGAGAGAGAGAGAGAGAGAGACTTGCCATGTGTGCCATGTGTTGATAGAATCGCCTCAAAGAAGAGTCTGAGTGTCAGTCTTTGTTACGGCTGCGATTAATGACGAAAATGCAAAATCAGTGTTGTTTCTAATTCATCCTGACAGGCTTCATCAAAGGAGTCTGTCACCGTCTGTGGTTTAGGATGACAAGCAGGGTTAATGAGGTCAAATGGGATTCAAGGCTAATGCACAATGCACCCTTTTGTTGTTTATATTCTGCCATTCTAGGTTTTCATTTCAACATGTGAACACCAAAGGAAAAGCTGAGCCTCGGCAACATCTAGTACTCTACTACGAACATACTTTAGAAAATCCTCTTAAAGCGGATGACACTGATCCAAAAAACCTACTGACCACCACTGCTTGGGAGGTGGGGGAGTGGGGGGACATCATAATATAAAAAAGACAAGTGGTATAGTTCTGTAGTAATGAATTTATCAAGTTTTAGAAAAAAAATCAGCTTATTTATCTTTTTAAGTAGATGTCTAAGAACAACAGTACCATTAATTCTCTTTTGTGAGGACCTGGAAGTAACACATTTCCCGAAGAAGGGCCTTTTCTTTTCTCCAAAGAAAATCTTGACTTGCCATGATAAAACTAAAAGTATTCATCTAACTGTTCAAATATCCATTGATAGATCTAACAGTGTCTGTTTTTTTTTTTCAAAGACCCACCTACCCCATAGATCAAGGCTTAATAAGATTTTTTTAAGAACCCAATTGGCACAACAGTCATGATACTTGTCTGTTTGTATTAATGGTAGTATGTATAAGCTAAGAAATAAATTACACCAAGGTGCAAAAATATTAATAACACAAAGGTATAACATTTTTGCCCCCAAAGTGTGGAAGCAAACAGAACAGCCTTAATGATGGTGCACATACACATTTTGTTCATTCTTAAAACACACACTGTCATGCCCAAAGTGATCAATAAAAAAGCAGAGTTACTTAACTTATTGACACTTGGCTGGTGTGTTTGTGACCATGTGATCATGCAGGTCACAAACAGCACCGCCATTTCTCCAAGTCAGTATCTCAGTTCTGGACACCCTCCTTTGTCCTTATGACTTTACATCATCCTCAGTCCAATATCAATCTTATCTCCTCTTCTTTGCAGGTCAGAATAAAATGACCCCCCTTTGACCCTTCTTGATCAAATATCTTGATCCAGCTTTGTACTACTTTCCACACTGACAGAAACCCTACTTCTTACTAATCTCTCATATTCTACAGCAACAGACTGCAACATCTGAAGAGCATTTCATTTTAAAAATCATAGTTCAATACAGCAATTATGCTGTAGAACAGCGGTCCCCAACCTTTTTTGCACCACAGACCGGTTTATGCCCGACAATATTTTCATGGACCGGCCTTTAAGGTGTCGGGGATAAATACAACAAAATAAAACTAGTACCGGTACCGAAAAAAAGAAAATTTATTCATAACACACGTGAAAAGACCCAGGAAAACCGAGTAAACGATAAAAACGATAACAAAATAATGCTGAAAACCGATAAAAACCCAGAAAACCATACATTTCACACCTGAGCCTCAACTCTCGTGGCCCGGTACCAAACGACTTATGGACCGGTACAGGTCTGAGGCCCGGGGGTTGGGGACCGCTGCTGTAGAACACACAGTTATACACAGTTATTTCATTTAAATAGCTTTAACGTTACTAACATTTATTGTGAAAATGAAATAATAAAGTGACTCACTTTACCATTTCATGCTGCTAGTTCTGATTGCAGACATTTAATAAATGTCAATACAAGTCAGCAAACACAGAGTCCTGATGTAGAATTTAGACAGTCAAAGATAACAACAAACAAACAAACAAACAAATAAAAAGAACAATAAAGCTTATAGCTGATTTTCCTTGGCCACTTTACATGGAGCCCAATATTGAACCATTGATTTAATTTAGAGTGAAAACAATGCGTGTATGTGGTTCCCATTACCTAGAAGAATTATCTGACAGGGCCTCAAATAAAAAATCTTTGATAGCATATGAAACATTTTGATATGTGAAAAAACAATGCATAACAGAGAAGATATCAGTCCAACCTGATGTCAATGTAATGACAGGACCCCTAACCTGATCCAGATTTCACATTAGCGCTGATTCCAGCTTCCCAAATCTGAGGATTTATAGCTTTTTATATCTATTTTATTGTCTTTGACTTTTAGACAGGTAGTTGGAGAAAGTCAGAAATCTGAAAACGCATACTTGGAGTGTGGGAAAAATTGACAGCCTAAAGAAAATGAAAGAAAAATAATTAATAAATGTATCAAGAAAGTGTTTAGTAAGTTGATAAGCAGTGGCTATAATCATCTACTTACAACAAAAATTATACTACGCTAATAAGAGGGAACATACTAAGAAGACTTTCCACATCCTGGTATACCACTACTATATATATACAGTGATGAGGATGATTATTGTGGGAATGCTCATCTAGGGCTTAAAGATAGAGTCATGAATAGACGTTGTTTCTCCATTTAATTTAAAAAGAATAAAAGTGGAGTGCTGTGGGGCGGAACTTCACGTGGCTTTATTTATATAACTGAATTTCTTGAAGTCTGGTCATGTTTAAGTAATTTTAGTGTAATCTCTAGTTACACCAATTCACTCCCACTCCACTGTTAATAACGTGCACATAAATTTGATTAAAAAAATTATCCTTTCCAGCAAGAATATCATGCTGCTATTAAAAGTCTCCCAGTGGTTGCAAATCAGTGCGCATGGGAAGTTTTGTCTGGGTCTTTGTCTCCATGGCAACAAAACATCAAGTGTTTTGTAAAAAGACAAGGAGTTAAGTTGAAGAAGTTACATAACTTCCGGTCCGACTCGTGCAGGAGCGGGTGGACCGAGAGTTTTGTTGTTGTTGTTTTCACATTCCCACTGAGGGATGAACACATTACATATCAGAACTGAAAGGAGCCGGTCTGTTTGCATGTAACGCAAGTGCATTTTTTAACTGCAAGGCCACTTATTAAATGCAAATGAACCAGTTTAACATGAAAACACAGACATAAAGTTTCAACCCAGGACAGGAGAATCACTTGAACTTAAAAATAAATGCCCATTAAACCAGCTTTTGGCTTTTGACCCTGTGAGAAAAAAAAAAAAACACGTTATGGTGGGAGTAGCAAAGTTGGTTGTTTATATACAGGAAAAGTAATTTCCTGAATGCATTGTTTACGAAAGACAAAGAAAAATTAATAAAATAAACTTTAATTAATAAATTCACCTTCAGATGCCATCACTAAAATAGCCAAGCTGTCAGACAATTTTTAAAACTGTCAACACTGCAGGAGGTTTGTCGTCTTTAACTTAAGCCAAGAATTCTTGGTAGATTTTAGATATGTTCTGCACATGCTTATTTCCAATATCACATGCATTTATAAACGCTTAATAGCATTTCTATTCCACAAAGTCACTCGCTTAATTTTCCAAGCCCTCTATCTATTGGCTGCCTGCTGAGAATAAAACAGACCTATTATGTATCCAAACCTCTGGAGCTGAAATCCGCTAAAGATAGCCTTTTATCAGTCTGGGAAGTTAGAAAAAAGACTTATTAACTCTGGTGGAAGCTGGAATTTTAAGTGACAATACAAATGATATTTTGTGTCTGGTCTGAAGGAGAATTTAATATAATAATCCCTTCCCAGAGATCATAACTGCATTTTTCATTCTTCAACATTGTCGACGGTGTCAGAGGAAAAGGAGGATGGTTTTCATCAGAAGTGACAGTGCTTGGACTGCTCTTTGAGTAATGAGGACCGAGGCTTTTTTCTAACTGTTCAGTCTGGTTCACAGGCTCACACTGGTAGATCAATAGAGGCAGGGAGAGAGAGAGACCAGCATCTATCGATCAGTGGTGCATTGGCTGCGATCCCGCACAGAATCATCGAGCATTCACACTGTCCATTGACACAGCTATCATAAGTCACAGTGAAGGTCGAGGTCATAAATAATGCAACAATGCTTTTCTTACCACAGTTTTGAGCAGCCACACAAGGGGTTAACTTAACAAGGGGAACTGCTTGTTCCCCTATCAGTCCATATCAAAAAAGCACTACGACAAATTCAATCTGATCAACTTGAGGCAGTTAATATGTCATAATCATAAGCTATCAAATACTAAAATGGCAAACCTGTTTACTGATAAGCAAAAATATTGTGTCCACCGTGTCTATGTTTCTGCTTATGCTGCCTTCATAGCTACCAACATCTTTATCTAAACCATTCCTTTGACCTTGCATAGTATGAAATGGACCAAGTCCATGCAACAGTACATGAATGCTGGTGAAGAGTTAACATTGTTGCTAGAAATATCTACCATCTGCTGTTCCTGAGGTGGCCCATTAGCTCTCCTACAGGGGACTCTTTGCCTTATGTGCTGGGCTACTGAAGGAAAAAACCCTCACTGGCTCTCTGTCATTCAGTGTTTGTCCTCTGCCTCCGTGTGTTTTAAAGGGATTGTAAACAAGGATGAAGTATGTGATGACATCTCTTGGACAGAGCATGTCGGGTGTCGCAGATTAAGAAGTGGTGATGCTCTCCTCAGTCGTCCTCCCACTCTCATTATATCATCTTTGAAGATTAGGTCAAGCTGGTACATTTGGTGGCTACGAGGCAGCTTACCAGATTTCTGGCTGAGTTTGTGCAACTTTTCTTTAAAGGTATCTTGC